ATTCTTGCTAAAACGCAGAAGTTTAAAAAAAACAAAAAAAAACCAACTGTGGCTTTAAACAAATCCCAACGTTTGGTTATACTGTACGTTCAATTCTGGTTATGCGTAATTTAAAATAACTTTTAGGGCGGTGATTATTAATTTTACTTCCATAGAGATAAATGCAACTATTAATTGTTTTACTTTATTCTAAGTCATATTAAAAACCTTAATGACACGTGGAATTTGACAGAACATGAATGTTAAAAATCACGTTTTGGAAAGCCTTTCAGTTTATGCAGACAATATAAAGCGTAGATCACGGCATGGAGCTCTGGCTTTGTCTTTTCAACTTTACCAAAATGGGTGGGGTTAAAGAATTGTAAAGGTAATTTTAGGGAGTTTAACAGCTCTAACGAACAGCTTTGGTTTTAAATCCAACAACCTGCCTCCTCAAGTTAAGAGGTCTTCTCTTCGTGGGCTTGGCTTGAAACCAGAAAGGCCCACAGCGACGCTGAGCTGTTGGGCTTTACGGTAAAAACCACTCATGTTGACAGACGCTCACTTAAAAATAAGTTAGGTGACCTAAAATACAGCAAAGAGCCGGTGGCGTTGAATTTCCCCACTGAGCGCTAAAAAGGCTAACGAGAAAAGAAAATGGTGAAAAACAACCGTGTTCATTTTTTTTTCATAATTTCTGTCATTTTATCCATCGATTAGCTAAACGTCCAGCTCAGTCCAGGAACGTGCGCCAACTGTTGGTATTTGTAACTTTTAAAACTTTGTTCTCCACGAAAGCTGCTTCAGCGTAAACTTTTATCAGACCACGCTTCTAAAACGAAGGTTTATTCTGATGCGTTTTATTTTTAGCGTACACCTCACAGCCGCCGAACAGAAGCGAAGAACTCATTAGCTCTGACTAAATATTTGCTTTAGACGGACGGAAACCACAGCAGAGCTGAGACAGGTTTCCTTTCATCAGATGACGAACCGTACACAGAAAATAAACGAATGTGACGATGACGCTTCCTGGAAAAGTGGAGGACTCATTTCACTTCACGGTCTGAAACTCTAAAAACACACCTGTTCGTGCAACACGTTGAGCTAAAACATGGAGGGTTTAAATGTATTTTTAATGAGAGTTACTCTGAGGCGCTCAGGAGGACGGCACCATCGGACTTTCTCGTGGTCTGGGCCTCGTTGGCTCGGTCTCGCCTCGGGGAGGCTCGCAGCGATGCGGGCCCTGCTCAGACAGGTTGAGCAACATGTGGCTGTCACGACACCGCGCAGTTAAGAACTCTTTAAAAACACCAACACAATTACACAAAGGCCCGTCTGAGAGGAGAAAAGAATGCTAAGACAACAAGACGGAGCAAAGCTTTGGCTTTCTCCTCCTGGACTTTCTGTTAGGCTGTGAACCAGACCAAGAGAAAACCTGATAAACCGTTTTCGTTTCTTTCACCGGAACAGAAAAACGATCCGAGTTTTAGAAACAGACTGCTAAAGAGCACACAAGGTGAGCCTTCTCAAGCTGCCGCTCACACAAATTTGCCTGAGGGGTTACAATTTCACTTAACCCGATTTCTCTGCGCTTTGACGCAACGCTTTGCATAAAAACACGCGTTGCATGTTGCTGCAGCAAGAAACAAGCAACGACAGAGAGGGATTAAGAGTTATTTCGCCTCCAGCGAAACTTCAGTGTGACCAAAAAGTCGCGTCAAAGTCGGCATCCACGGCTGGAGCTGAGAACTGTTGTGGGACAAACTTTATGGAGGTCCAGATTCTGTGCGAATGAATAATTGACAGGTTCTGCTTTCATTGTGATTCATGGAATCCGATAATCACACGAACCAGTCCGAGCTGTAAAACTGTTCGTGTTTACGACCGTCACAGAGTCCCACGTTCAGCTGCACAGGTCGTCAGCGAGGGAGCTCAGGTTTATTATCTGGGTGTCCAAAAACTTCTTTAAAACGTCTTCAGTTGATCCACAACGCTGCTGCCAGAGTCTTAACTGGAGTTACTGGGAGAGATCATATCTCTCCAGTTTTACCTTCTCTCCATTGGCTCCCTGTTGAATTCAGAATTGAATTCAAAATATTACAAAGCCATCAACAACCTAGCTCCATCTTATATTACAGATCTTATTGTTCCGTACTTTCCTAACAGAGCACTTCACTCTCAGACTGCAGGTTTACTTGTGGTTCCTAGAGTTTCCAAAAGCAGAATGGGAGAAAGATCTTTCAGTTAGCAGGCTCCTCTCTTGTGGAACCAACTTCCAGTTTCTGTCCATGAGGCTGACACATCGTCCAGTTTGAAGATTAGGTTTAAGTATTTCCCTTTTGATAAATCCTATAGTTGGGGTCAGCTTGGGTTTTCTGACCGATCCCTTAGTTATGCTGCTATAGGTTTAGACTACTGGAGGAAAAACTGATTACATTTCATCAAATGAACAGAAATGAAATAGTTTATATTCTGCTGGAGGTTTCTTCCTGTTAAAGGCAGTTTTTCCTTTCCACTGTCTCCTTTGTGCTCGCTCAGGATGAGAAACTGCGACAAAATGAAGACGCGGCGCGTCTGCTTCCTTCCTCAGACACATAACTTTACCAATCGGCATTTATATCGTATGTGAATGTTTCTGTTCAGTGCCCAGAGACGACTTCTGTTCTGACTTGGTGCTACAGAAATAAACTGAAGTCAACGTTTTGAAATCCAGGTTTAAACTTTTTTTTTTTTTTTTCGGCAGAAAACTGAAAAATCACTCACTTTTTACTTGCAGTTAGTGAAACACTTAGCGAGTGTAGTTTTGGAGTTCACATATAAATAGGAAATACTTTAAACTCTCCTCGGTGGAGGTTTTAAAGAAAAAGAAACGCATGTCGCCTGATCATCTGTTCAATTGTTTTTTAAATGACGGCTGTAGTCAACTTCTTTAAAAATAACCAGTGGTGTTGCTCAACTTGTTTGCCCTCAGAGTACGTGTTGGGGACTACTCTCAGCTACAGCATCTATTAAACCGACTGAGCAGCAGCCATCGTAGTGTTTGTTATGGTGACCATCTTAAATTAACTTAAAATAATCACTTGCAGGTGAAATCTGATTATATTATATATTATAACCTGTCTGGTAGTGGATGAAATATTTTGCTAACAGACAAGCGGGCGTTTTCAGTGTCGGTGAATGAAACAGTTCCTGCCATTAACAGGTTGAATAGAGATCATTTCCTCATTCCTCCAATCCAGATGGATAAATCCAAACGTGCTGAACACAAAGGCTCCATGAGAGTTAGTAAAATATCACCAGGGTGTGTTTTCATCCCCAAAACGTGTCGCACCGAGGGTCATGAACACAAGAAACCCCGCCAACAATCAGCACGTCTTTAAGAAGCCGCCGGTTCTGCACGGCCGCTCACCTGGGACCTCTTTCAGCATTAGGTGTCTGGATTCGCCACCTGCTCGCCAAAATACCTGGCAGGAGACCAAAGTCAGCAGCACAAAGAGGTCTGGTTTCAGTTTGCAGCGTGTTGTGATCACAGCGCCCGTGTGCAGCCATGTAACTTTAATGCACGTCTCTGCCGTCACCGGTTGTTTGTTTACGCTCGGATCGCTGCTGCAACAAACCTCAAGTTCAACCAGCAGCAAAAAAACCGGACCCAGACCTCCTGCCTCAACAGGGGATCAAACCCGAGGTCCTCAGGGCTGCAGGCCTCCGGGCTACAGCTACTTTTGAGGCCCTGTCAACATTATAACTCATATAGAGTTTAAGGAATTTAAGGTTCTTCACATGGAACGGCTGCTCTTGGCTTAAATGTAAAATCTAACAAAGACACTGCTGCACGGACCACAAGTCCTTCAAACTGTCTGATCAAACTTACATCCATAAAACAGATCTGGCTGCATGACTAATTAAGAATAATTACAGAAAACAGCAACACTGCATCATGGAAACTACACGGATCATATCATTTAGTGAACATTTTATTACTGGACTGACTTTAAATCTGTAAAAATCTGCAGCAAATTAGACAAACTCGTCAAAAACTGTTCATTAACATGAGTACATAAACACTCTAGAAATGTGGGTTTCACTTTGTAGGAAAAAAAAGGCATTTAGGAAATATTCATTCATTAAAAACAATAATACAACTTTAGGGGCCCGAGGTAGAGGCCCTGTGAGCCCTTTGGCTTTGGTCCGGCCTTAGTCTTCATGATGGTGATGAAACGGAGCCTGACGAGCGTTTGGCTTCTCTCTGACCACGCTGCGGGTCGTCTGGAGTTCATTTACCTTTAAATTATTTGTCGCATCACTTCCCAAGAAAACTGATTAATTTAATGTCTGTGCCCATAAATGATTGTTGCACTAATAAACGTCTAATTCAGCGGTCTGCAAACTTTTTTTTTTTTTAACATTAAAAGCCAGTTTTGTAAAAAGACAACTTTCTCAGACTAGAGAAGTAAAATATGTTCAGAAATTTATTTTTTTACTCATTTACGCCAAAAATATTAAGATTTTAAGCATGTGCAGCATTAATGCAATTTCTCCCCCCCCCCCCCACCCAAATTAATTTATCTTTGTGTATGGGGGGGGGGGGGGGGGGTGCTGCAGCACCCTACACACCCCTACTTCCCAGGCTTCGTTAGCTGTGACTGAATCAAGCAGGAAAAGGTGGAAGTGGTCATTTTTCAAAATAAAATACCCTGCAGATCAGTATATTAAAATATAAATCTATTTCTGTTGGGCCTCATATTAAACGAACTGGCCGTACCAGCCCCTGGACCACCTTGCTCTAATTATTCTCATAATATAATAAATCTTTTGTTGTTATTGTCTTTTATTCTGTAACCAAAATTCCAGTTTGTGTCTCAGCCTGCAGAACTTCCTCACCTGGCAGGTGTCACTTCAGGACTTTAACCTACAGGTGAGCTAATTACGCAGCTATGCTCCCACCTGAGCCACATAAACACATAAAAAATAATGATTATAATGAAGTGACGTCATTAAGGCCGCGGAGGGCCGGGGCTCACCTGCAGCCCGGCCGGAGTCAGCGTGTTGGCGGAGATTCGCACCCCGGCTTTGACGTCCTCAAACACGGACGTGTCCTCGGCTCCGTCCGCCTCGGACATCCTGACAGGTTTGAGCTGCGTGAAAACCGCACGTTCTTCTGTCACGTGCGGCGGATTCATGGCCAGTCCGACTCCCGCTGCCATTCAGATCTAATTTTCACTTTGATCTTCCCGAGAATCGTTTGGATTTTCTCTGCAGGCCTGAATAATTCCTGACAACAACCGAGTCCTGACGCGGCTGAGCGTGTAATCCACAAGCCTCCTGATGATTCTAACCTCTCAGGTGAGGCTTACCTGAGCTGTACCTGGAGGACAGGGCTCACTCAGCCAATCAGAGCGCAGCAGCGCCGTCCAATCACCGACAGGTGGGCGTGGCCAGTCCTGAGGGGACGCACCAAGGAAGTCTGAAAGATTCAGATCTGATAAAGTCTATTTTTTATTACAAAAATAAAATATATGATTTAAATTGTAATCTGATTACAAGGTATTCCATGCAGCTGCATATAACTCTCATGCTAGAGTTTTAGACAGGTCATCTTATTCTGAGAAATGTGCATGTGTTGAGGATGACTCTCAGCTACTACCACACCAGACTTGAGCATTAGCTCTGTGAAACTGATTTTCTGCTAATTTTTTGGACATTAGTGAACTACAAGGGCAACAGAAACAACACAAACTGACTCGTCGCTGATGTCTACGGCGCCTAACTTCACAAAAAAAGATTTTATTTCCAGTCATAAACACAAAGCTGTTTGGTGCAACAAAACCTCTTATTTATATGTTCGACTGCCTCCACATTGAACTTAAGCCCTTGGAAAAAACAAACTGAAAACAATATTTTAGCCTGCAGTTAAAAAGTGAAATATCCAGTTTTGTGTGTTTTCCTGGAAGGTCTTCGCCTGACGTTGCCAAAATATGAAAAGAGGAAGCTTCAAGGAGAAAAACCTGCAGTTTACGGTCTTTTGATCTTTTACTGTTTCACAGAGATAATTTGCTCAAAACCTTTTCATTATTGTTCGTCTTAAATAAACCGGTTACTCTGAAATAAAATCAAAATGATTGCGTTTTAAACTACCGTGTTTTGAAATGACAAAAATTGAAGATATTTTAGTCAAACATTGAAACTAGCATGAAGCGCAGTCTAATGCGACAACATTCATTCAACCTTTATTTATACAGGTTAGCCTCATTGAGCCTGGAGGACTCATTTCCAAGAGAGACATGTTTTAAACAAAGAATGATACCATACCATACCACTTTTTTTTTATAAAGCACTTAAAACAGCAACAAGGCCAACCAAAGTGCTGTACAGACAGAACAACAGGTAACACACAAAGCAAAATACAAAATGAGGTAAATCAGAATGTAAACATAAAAACGATGCAGATAATGACGACAAACCAGTGTGGAGCATACAGGTTCAAAACACAGATCCTCTGGCGTTGAAAGCTACTGAATAGTAGAGAGTTTTTAAACGGGACTTGAAAACTGAGAGGGAGGGGGCCTGTCTGACAAGCAGAGGTAACTCGTTCCAAAGTCTTGGTCCTGCTACAGAGAAGGCCCTGTCACCTCTGCGCTTAAGACGAGATCCTGGAACTGTGAGGAGCAACTGGTCCGCTGACCTCAGGGAACGTGGTGGGACATACGGTTGTAGCAGATCAGAGAGATGGGGGGGGGGGGGGGGGGG